ACTCATGACTGAAGTGACCCTGCTCTGTCTCTTCTCTGTGACAAAAGCTGGGGAACCAGAACTCATGGCTGAAGTGACCCTGCTCTGTCTCTTCTTTCTGTCAGAAAAGCCAGGGAATCAGCCCACAGTGGAAGCAACCCTGCTCTTTCTCTTCTCTCTGTGAGTAAAGTGTTGTTCCATCCGATGTTTGCGTGTAAGTCGTGCTTTTTTGGCGGCCCCCACCTTGGCTCGAAAGTATGGCACAGTGAGCAGCATTGACAGTGTGGCTACCTAGGTACCATGCTTTATGTCATGGAAGTCAAGAGAATGAAGGCTGAGCCTTGTAACAGAGTGACACTAATGACGGCTTAAACGAGACCGCCACTTAGCTTTTTAGAATAAACCCACCAAAGAGAACCAGATGCTCCTCTTTCAGATCTTTACTGACACCCCTTTTCTTGCTGTGTGACCTCAGTTCAGCCAAGACAGGCCCACAGTAAACCTGGGCACAGCCAATGTAGACATTTGAGCAACTCTCCTCATGTAACTACGGACTTGTTCCCTTGGTCTACTCACTAGATAAACTACCAAGGGGTTGGAAAGAGATGTCTAAAGAAAAAAACTTCTATATTTGGAACACTGGTGTTTGGTGAGTACAAGTTCAGAATCTTAGCTTTGCTAAATGAAGTAAGCCAGACTTCGGTTGGTTAACACCTACCTCCCTCATGATTCTCAAAGCAGTAAATTCCCAGCACAACACCTTTAAGAAAACGTTTTACTTCATCTGACTGTTTATATGTCAGTGCTATATACTTTCTTTTTGAAAACGCTAAAATTTACTTAAACTACAGAAAAACAGATGTGTGCTTTCTCGGGGGATGGGCTGGGGAGACACTTCTTTCCCCAACTTGATGTTTCCTTCCACATGGCATACTTGCCTGCAGAGGAGGTGGCAGTCCTACTGACTGGTAAGTTCTGGGCAAGACTGGGCATGGGCGCTAAGACCCATCTCTCCCTCTTCCATGGGCACCAGGGCACCCTCCCTCACCCTGGTTTTACAGGGGAAGGTTCTCATCGCACTGGCTGCACTGGATGGGAAACTTCAATTGAGAAGAGTTTAGAAGTACAAGGTTATGAAGTCCTTGCTGCCAAGCACCTCAGCCAGGCTGGTAGACAGCTCTAGCAGTAACAAAACTCACACTCTGATCTCTGACTGCCTGGATGCTTTGACTATCAACTGCTTCTGAACTCAGGCAAAGAAAACAGAAGTCTGTCTGTCAGCCCCTGAAGCCCCAGTATACGCTTTTAACTTACATCCATCTGATCCCACTGGAGATGGAACTGCTCAGCTATGAAAAACAATGGAACGCGTCCATCAATGAGTTGATAAAATCTGTATCACAATTCTGCCTCTTTTCTAATTACCTTGTAGTCTTGCCCAGATTTACTCTGTAGTGTGGAAGAAACGTTCAGGCAGACAGACTGGATTTTGCGAAACAGTCCTGGTTTAGACCCATGCTGAACTACTCCTTCTACCTTCAGGGCCAGCTGCTGGTTGTTCTGGACGGCGACGGGCTCTGCAGGGTTCCGGGGCGACGGTGACAGAGCAAGCTGGAAAAGCAACACTAACATAAACGCCAACAGCCAAGAGCAGGCTTCCTCCCGACAAACAGTCTGTGCGAATCACTGGCTACCGGGTAACGCACAGCACCAACGACGGGACTGTGTAGGGCCCAAGCTGACAGGTGTACCTGTAAAGTCAGGGTCCTTATCCCTAGTACCTCCTTTTAAATACGACTGTGCTTTCCACCCCAAACCTCCGCTTTGTGGGAACGCCACAGAGGTTAGAGAACAGCAAGGGCGCACTGTTCTCCCCATTTTTGTGGTGGAGCATTTCTTGGCACTGAAGTGCTTCCGCAGGGAAATGCACTATGTAAATTTTCATGCTCAGCTTCTGTGTCTTTGGTCTTAGGTAATCTTAAATAGAATAAATGTGAATAGGAAGAACTTAAAATTCCAGGGTTATTAACACAATCAAGTCACCACAGGATAAAAGTCAATTTCCACACATGAATCAAACGACATTTTTAACCTATCGTTTTTTCTTTAAAAACTATTAAAAATCCCAAATACCTCCTACTGCAACTATAGAAAGTCCAAGTCTTGCTAAATAAAAAGATAGGAGAAACTTGGGTTTTTTTAAAATAATGTTGTTCAGCCATTGAACTAGTCAACCCTAGAGACACCTTTAAGACTTCTTAGCTAGATCATCAATTTTCCTTATTATTCAGGTCATTCTGCAATCAAAAGCATTCAAATGGATGCAAAATGCACTGAACATGTTTACTGCCAGGGATAATCTAAGAAATAGCTCAGAAATGACAGTTTTCCCCTTTTCCCAACAATTCCATTCTTAGAACCAAAACAGCTTTTGAATTTTGAGTGGCTTAAATATTTAAAAATAATAGTTCTATATGCTGGCCAGCCCCTCAAACTTGTTACTCAAAGACAAAAGTTCTCTGGAGGTGACACTGGTGATTTGTGACTGGACCTGATTCATTCCAAGTTGGTTCTGAATAGGTTTATCAGCAATGGACTCAGCTCAAGATTCTTATAAGTACAATGATGAAAACCACACAATTTATTCCTGGAGTTAAGGGCAAGGGACGCAGCTCCAGTTACTTACTATCTCACTGCAGTTGGCACTGCCAGTTACAAAGGGAGAGGGCTTAACTCCCAAATCCTACTCCCTTCACCAAGACACTCGATAAGGGGAAAAGGCTTACAACTAGAAGTTATGTTGTATCAAAACCAGACGTAAGATACTGGAGTGGAGCTACGCCCCACTTAATCTTCAGAAGACAACTGAGTTTCTAACCTCGGTATTCTCCCCACCTTACCTTAATGCTGGTAGACTGCAATTTCTGGAAGAAGTATCTTTGAAATGAAAGGGGAACTTTCAGCAAGGCAATGATGGCATTGCAGAGGCATGCTGTATGCTGGGAAAAAAAGAAAACCAAATCAAAGGAAAATAAATTTTTAAATTTCACCAACAAATGGTATTTTCAGGAACACATCTGAAACTTTAAATGCTCACTTACCACTTAGATCATTACAAAAGTAGATCAATCGGGAAAACAGGCTTAACATCCAGGAACTGTGTACATCTGCCAGATCATTCATCTCAAGGAGCACAACTACAAAATTCTGCTTTATTTTGTAGAATATTCGATAAAAAGTAAATGACAGAAGAGAAGAGGATGCACATTCCTCAACAGGCAAATTTTGTATTTTTGCAGAGCTCAGAGCTACCACACAGATTCTGCAGTTATTTTAGGTACTGAAATACAGAGTAACTATCCTATGGTGAAAACCCATTGCCACTGAGTCCACTGCGACTCACAGCGACCCTACAGGACAGAGCAGAACTGCCCCACAGGGTTGCCAAGGCTGTCGTCTTTATGGAAGCAGACTACTACACCTTTTCTCCCAAGGAGCAGATGGCTGGTGGGTTCGAATCGCTGACTTTTTGGTCCATAGCCGAGTGCTTTAACCATGAGGCACCAGGGCTCCTATTCTAATTATTTTTGATACTGAATTATAGAGTAACTATCCTATGGCAGAGAATGATAAAGAATATGGTAAAAAGCCAGGAGTATACAGACATCCAAGGCCAGACACCAAGTCCCGTGGCACCTTAGCTCTGAGCTGCCTCATTCCTTCAGGCACCTCCAATAGGTCAAGTGCCTGTCTCTGTGGCCACGGGTCACCAGTCAATAAGCAATGGTGGGAACTTATGGAATTCAGGGTAAGGATGACTGTATAGTCCAATCCTATGCAATTCTGAAATCTGTCTAAAATATCTTATTTCTAAAATCTATTTCACAAATTTACTGAGTTTTGAAAATCCAGCATGACTGCAGAACAGAAACACTACAGTGAATCCTTTGAGTCTTAGTAGTGAAAGGGGTCACAGAATCTGAATTTAGGGGTTCAGAGATATCTTAAAGATCACCCAGTCTACTCCTCAATTTTGCTGATGACACAGGTCACACAGACAGGTAATAGAATGAGCTAGCACTAGAACGTGCCTGACTTCAGTGACTTTGTCTGTTTCACCAGTGATTTACAAACCACAGAAAAAGAATAAAAGCATCCTCAGAACACTCCTGAGTGACCAGACCATTCCCATGCTTGGTCCCCTCTAAGTGGCCCCTCCAGGCACCACAGGCTGAAGACCGCTGCCCTACAGTATGCTGTCTGTCCGACGAAGGTCCTGCTTCCAAGCAGGAGGCTACCTCGTTGTCCATCCTGTAAATATGTTTAAAAAGTTGGACATTAAGGACAAAAGCCCGAAGAATCTATTCCTTATTGGCTTCAGGCAGTTGGGCACTTCGTGTCCAGTGTCAGATCACTACTCGAGACACCACAGTACAGACACTGGTTCTGCTTCTTCAGGTTTAACAGCTAAAGCAGCACTAGGATCTGGCAACAGGAATCCGGTAAGCATCTGCAGGAGCATCCTACCAGTGGTGAAACCTCTGGTGCCACCACAATGCTGAAGGAGAAACATCCTTAAAGGGGGCACTTAAAGGACCACAAATGACCTCAGACTGCTTCCTAGCAGAAAGTCACGCTTCCACCTTGGAAAAGAATGGAAGCAGATTCTCCAGCTTCCCGTCTGGAATGCAAAGACTGCCTCTAAGGTCACTAGCGCATTGGGCACACGGCCACAGGTTCGCTAGTTAGCAGATTACTGTTACAAAGTAAGTCTGGGGATGGGAAATTACAGCCCACTGATGAGTAAATCAGCAGAACCAGCTCATCACAAAGACTCTTAATGGTCAAATCTAATAGACACTGTTATGTATTGACTTGTGTTCCCCTAAAATGTGTTGAAATACTAACCCCTATACCTGTGGATGTAATCCCATTTGGCAACAGGGTTTTCTTTATTATGATAATGGGTCTGTCTTAAGCCAATCATCTCTGAGATATAAAAGGAGCAGATTAGACACAGAAGCAAGGAAGCACAGGTGGGGGAAGACAGAGGCAAAGAAGGTCGTCAAGGGACTGAGGAACAGAAGCTGAAAAGAGACAAGGACCTTCCCCAAGAGCCGACAGAGAGAGAAAGCCTTCCCCTAGAGCCGGTGCCCTGAATTTGGACTTCTAGCCTCCTAAACTTTGAGAAAATAAATTTCTGTTTGTTAAAGCCGCTCACTTGTGGTATTTCTGTTACAGCAGCACTAGACAACCAAGACAGACACTGTTCAGTCTTTGTATTTTTTGACATTTCTGTGGTACCTGATAATGGTAACCACTCTTCTTCCATAAAATACCACTTTAAGGTCCGTGCCTTCACTTCTTTTCTCATTTTTCCCTTCTCTGTCTTCTTTCCTAAGATCCTTTCCTTTCGTTCGCTGCTTAAATGTTGATGTTCCCTTTAGCAACCTTCTCTTCTCAACCTGTATGTTTTCACGGCAATTTTCTCTACTCCTATGATTTGAGAACCTCTATGCTCATGGCGACCTCACATGTATCCCAGCCCATCTCTTTCTTCTGGCTCCAGGACTATTACCCGGTTTTCCACAAGTGAGCTTCATCAGGCCATGTGTTTAAAAGTGAAAGCTTCTTCTCCCACCATCCCTCTATATTCTCTGCATCAGGAAAGGATCAACCAATTGTATACACACAGTCACTCAAGCTGTGAGCCTGGAAGTTACGTCTCCACGTCCTCACATCTGATTAAAAAAAACCAACCCTTGACGTTGTACCCCTAAGTATCTTTCAAATGTATCTGCTCTTCTCTTTCCTGCTTTCATTATTTATTAACTTAGCCTTTATCTTGGATTCCTGCAAAAGCTTGTAGCCACTTCTCATTCCTCTAATTTCACGCCCCTTAAGCCATTACATGTTCTGCTTCCACATAACTTACTAAAATTCTATCTCAACTACCTCCTTCCTCAACCCATTTAAAATCTCTAGGAAGTTCCCCAGTGCCTATAGGATAAAGTCCAACCTCCTGAATAAAGTGCACAAAGCCTTTTGTCCCCTGGCCTCCGCCGACCTCTCTAGTCTCATCTCTCCAGTCCTTAGCCTCTACTTAAAGCTGTGGCAATAACAGTTCCCAGAAGACACCCAAGTATTTTATGTGTCTGCTTTTGAACATGTTCTTCTCTGCCTGCAATTCCCTACCCCTCCTTGTCTGCCTGGAAAACTCATTCAGACAGCGTCTCTCTGAGCTGCACCCCCAACCCATTTCCCTCTCGTCGGACACGAGTCACTCACGTCCTCTCTGTGCTCTACCTTCACATGCTGCAGAGCTGTTACTGCACACTGACTGTACTGTTTGTTTACCGAATCTTTCTTTCTTTCTTATCGGACTACGGACAACCTGAAGGAAGACCCTGTCTTTGTCATTTTTCATCCCTAGGATCTAATAAGCACGTTTTGAACTGAATTTGGGGCTCAGAAGGTATCAAATCTAATACAACTTGGGAAGGGAGAAAAGAGTAGTTAACCTTTATTAACCACTCCTATGTACCAGGCACTGTGCTGGGCAACATGCATTATTTCATCTAAACTTCACGGTAACCCGATGTGGTGGGTTATTATTTTCATTTCATAGAAAAGAATGTTAGTTATCTGTCTAAAGTCACAGAGCTGCTGAGTGGCAAAGCTAGAATCTAAACCTAGTTCTGAATGGCTCTAAGGCTCTGTGGGGTATACAGTTAACTTTACCCAAAGAATCTGATCTTTGTCCCTGATTCCTGGGAGGTAAAATCTAACCCCCTGAAAATTCCCCAGTGATTGGAATCTTTGTTATTCATGGGAGGGGCTCCAGATCACACCTGACAGGTTATCCTAATGTGGTGACTCTTGGGTGAGTGCTGGCCAAGCCAGGAAGACCCACCACATTCTATCAGTCTGACCAGGAAAGGAAGAGGGGCTACACATGAGTTCAGCCACGTGGGCAATGATTCAATAAAAGCTTTGGACGCTGAAGCTGGGGTGAGCTTCCTGGTTCGTGAAAGACATCGACCCTCAGGAGGGAGGGGCATTCCCGGGGACATGGAAGCTGCACACTGGGGACCCTTCCAGACCTTGCCTTATGCGTCACTTCATTTGTATTCTTTTTGCCATCATAAAACTGTAATTATAACTAAGTGTTTTCCTGAGTTCTGGGAGCTGTTACAGCGAATTACGGAACCTAAGGGGGAAGTGGGAACCCCCAAATTTGTAGCCAGCAGGTCAGAAGTGAGGTGTTATGGGGACCCCCAACACAGGCTGGCACCTGAAGTCTTGGGCAGACTGGGCAGTCTGGAGTACTGTACCCTTTATCTTGCGCTCTGACCTGACCCTGGGTGACCAGGGTCAGAAGAACTGCGTTGCAGTTGTGTCAGGAAAGGTCTTTCGAGCGTGTATTGAGAAGACACACACACACACACGAAAACCCCACAGGCTCTTTACTCCAGACTCTCTCTCCTCTTGGGTGGAAATGCCCCTTGTCTCCATTACAGTCAATGGACTCAACTCCATCAAACTGCACTTCCTGTTTGGCATCTATTAAATCTCTTACAGTGGAGCTTAGAGGGACATGAAAATAAGTTAATCACCCTTCCACACAGATGTATGTATTTCCTTCAGACAGAGTCTTTACAAAATCTCCCTCAGCAATCAATCTCAGTATCCAACAGCTGCCTGCGTCAACTGAATTCAACAGTATGTACTGATGATCTTATGTGAAAACAGTATGTCAAGGAAAACGTCCTTCAAATCCAGTATAATTGTTTAACAACAGCACATCCCACCAATTTCTTCTGAAAAAACCTGAAAAACGGTGAGAGAGCACAGAATGAGACAAGCAGGAGCCAGGAGACAGCGACATGGGATCTGCATCTGATGTGTGGGCAAGGAAGAGAAACTCTCCAAGGTGCGAGGTTCACAGAAGACTGGGGGATGGCCAGACAGGGAGGACGAGATCTGACTGAGAGCAAGTCAGTCTGCACTGTAACGAGGAAGTCAGGGGAAAAGATCTAATAACGAGGGAGTGCTCAACCCTGTCAAAAGAAGAAGAGGTTCAGCAGGCGAAAAGTGGAGACAGTGTGATAAAGACAATGAAGTCATAACCCGGCAGGAGCTGACTTAGCGCCAGTCAGACAAGCCCACTTCTTTTGTCCCAACTGGCCAGTGGTTCTCAACCCTGGCAGCGCGACAGAACCACCTGGGAGCTTTTAACCCAGAGATTCAGAGTTAACTGGTCTGGGGTGGGACCTGGATATTAATGAATTGTTTAAACGGGTCCCAAGGTAGTTCCTATGTACAGCCAGGGCTGAAAACCATCCTAACATCAGTTAAACTGTTAAAAAAGAGGTTTTACCTGCATTCTGGCAGAACGGATTTTACATGTTAACGTGACTATGGAGCAAGCAGAGATGTGGTAAGTGTTCCGCACAGACTGCGTCATTTAGCCGTCAACCATGCAGTGAGGTGGTACTATGCTAGCCCTGTTCTGGAGATGAAGAAACAGGTGCAAGGAGGCTCACTCGCTGGAGTCACACAGTCAGTGAAGCCAGAGACGGATAAAAACCCACTCTCGCCCAGTCAAAACTCAATAAAACGAATGCCACTTGCCATATAAGAAACAGGGGTGTATTTTCGATTGAGTGATTCCACTTCCTCCAACACACGACTATATACAGACATCATTCTTCTCTCATATTCACTGTCTGCACGGGCGGCTCCAGCAGATCCATATTCCTGGACACTGAAGTCAGAATCAGTATCAGTTAATCAACCAAAACAGTAACTATTTTAATGCCTAAATGTGTCAGGCACCTTCCACACATTCTCATTTAATCTTTAAAATAATGAAGTAGGCACTGTTATTTCCATTTTACAGATGAGGAAACTGAGACTTAGACAGGTTAGGTAATTTGCCTATAGTCACATAACTTGTAAGTGGCAAGCTGGAATTCAAACTCAGATCTGACTCCAAATTATGTGTTAATCACTTTGGTTGTAAGGTGGTATGAAAATGTTTCTAAGATCTTGTCCCTGCCATGCAGTGAGAGAGACCTAAGACATTTGAAAAGATAGCGATCAATAAAGTGCTAGATAACTAATAGACCAGTTGCTGTTGAGTTGATTCTGACTCATGGTGACACTAAGTGTGTCAGAGCAGAACTGTGCTCCACAGGGTTTTCAATGGCTGATTTTTCACAAGCAGATCATCAGGCCTTTCTTCTGAGGTGCTACTGGGTGGACTTGATTGAACCTCCAACCTCTTGGTTAGCAGTCAAGTGTGCTGAACCTATTTGATTGTTTTTACAGATTTAATTTTTCTTACTATATTACTGTTTACCTTTAAATCTTTGAAAATATTTGTAATAGTTGTTTTAAAGTCCTAGTCTGTTAATTCCATTACCTCTGTCGTTCTGGAGTCTGTGTTCTAACTGCCTAAATTCTTCATGGTTATCTGTCACATATTCCTGCTCCTTCACATTTCTAGTAATTTATGACTGCATGCTACACTTGTGATTCGTACACTATTGAGTTTCTGGTTTTAACTGTCTTTAAAGAATGTTAAACTTTGTTTTGGTAGACAGTCAAGTTACTTGTACATCAGCCTGATTCTTTCAAGGCTTATCTGAACTTTCTTAGAACAGATCTAGTGTAGTCTTATCTTTAGGGCTAACTTAGCCCTACTGCTAACACATTATGATCGTTTTGTTGTCTTTTCTAAATGTCCTGGGTATTTAATAAGGTCTCTGTCTGGCTGGAACTCAAACACCTCTCAGTTCTGCATGAGCTCTGGGAATTGCTCAGCTTATAGCTTCCTGGTAATTATTCTTTCCCTACCAGCCATGTTTTGCCCATCCTTGTAGGGTTTCACCTTACATATGTGCAGCTCAGTATTCAGCTCGTGACTCACAGCCCATGCAGATTTCTGGAGCTCTTTCTCTGAGAAGCTTCCTTCTCTCTTGTACTCTGCCCTGCAATGTCCAGCTTCCTTAGTTCTCTGAACGCTGATCTCTGTCTCTTCAACCAAGCAAGACCATGGTGCTGCTTGGGTTCCTCATCCCTGAGTGTCAGTCTAAAAAGTGCCTCTAGGCAGAAGGTGAGGACTATTATAAGGCTTACCTCATTTATGTGTCTCTTCTCAGAGACACTTTCCTGAGCTGCCTATTGTACAATGTCTGAAATCTGTTCATTCATAAGTTTTATGCTGTTTTCTAGTTGTTTATAGAAGGAGGGAAAGTCTAGACGCTCCCTCATGGCCAGGAGCCATTCCCTTGCTTTTTTAAACAGTAGAAATAAAGGTGAAGTACAAAGGAACGGTGACAGAGTGAATAAGTCAAAAGAGAAAAACAGAACGGACAAGCATCTCAAAATACATTTTCTTGATAATCCTGAAAAGGTAGTATGAGATCAATAATAACATTCACAACTATCAACATCTACCCTATCCTATCCCACATTTCTTGAAGGTACTGGCTCAGGCAATACGTTAGCTGCTGGAGTACAAAGTTGAATACGATAATGTCCCCTCTCCCAAAAAGCCTTCTAGGCTATGACAGGGTGAGACCAATTTGTAAAAACCACAGTGATATAGTCAATGTGGCTACACCTCCAGAAAATAACTCTGGCCATGCCTCAACCTCCTGAGGTTCTTCTTAGCAGTAGGTCCTTCTCTATTTGGAAGGCACAGAAAAATGCAATACCAAGAACCTAAGTTTTACAAGGCACCCTCTCCTTGCAGCCATGCACTGTTAAGAACAAGAGACTCAAAGCATTCTCGTTCAAGGTAACAACTTTCTTGACTGATTTTTTGTTACAATGAAGGAAGAGCTAGGGGAATGGGTGTGGGAGGATGGATGGGGGTAGAGAAAAATGGAAAAAGGTGGTAGGAGGAGAGAGGGTAAGAAAGACAGGGAGCGTACGTATGAGCTGGCTAGATAACCCCCCCACCACATCCCGACTGACGACACACCTCTCCAGTAAAAACTCAGTCAGCACAAATATCAACATCTACTCTGTCAATCACAGTACAATGGGACTTGCATGCTGAGAAGGTAAAGTGAGTACGACATGATCAGAGACGGCGTAAGCCTGTTAGTGTGAATTACGGGAAAGACAAAGGCGTGAGGGTCTAAGAACATTATGAAATTTAAAAAGGAGAAAGTTTCATTTAAAAAAAAAAAGAAAAGAACAATGCAGTCTGAGGGGAAGATGAACGTAGATTGGGAGTAGAAACAAGAGATAAAAATCAGTGAAAATTAGAATGTGATTAAAATACTAAAATAGATCAGATAAGTGAGGGGATTAAAAAAAAAGGCACGTGACCTAGTCTGATTGTAGCTAGCACTTTATTACCCTGAAAAGAGATGGCACATCAGTGCTTCAGGGGACAGAAATCTAAACTGCTTTGTTCACTGCATGCTCCTCTGAGGAAGCTCATCTTGGAATCACAGGCCTTACTGGATCAAAATTACAAACAGTTCAAAATGCATATTCCAAAACAGAATACCATGATGGGAAAAACAATGGATTATTCATTAATATTTTGAATAATTAACTAGTTAACAAGGGAGGGAAGAAGAATTTTAATAAAAGGAAGAACAGAAATATCTTTTTGTTTGAGAAGTCAAAGAATAAAAATTTCAAGTTAAAGTTTAATTGTAAAAAAAAAAAAAAAAAAAAAAAAAACAAGCTTAACTATATTATTCACTTGATTTTTCATGCCAAAGTTTAGTTACATGAAAAAAGTGTTCCAACAGCACGAACGATCCCCTCCCCCTTACTTTTCCAAGTCCATGTTTTGAAGAGAGAAGGCAGGAGGTTGAGTACACAAGGGAGGCAGAGACACTAAGTTCTGTCACTAGCTTTGTGACCCTGGGCAAAAGCCCGAGTCCTTCCTCTTTGTTTCACCTCCTGTAATACCCCTTCAAACGCATCCCTATGACAATCACGTAAGACATCGTATTTCAAAGTGTTCTGCAGTACATACTATTACTAGAATTACCTTGCTGATTCTGGATCCAAAATCAGGGCTTCTATTGCATGAGATATCAGTAAACAGCTCTGCTGCTGTCTGGATTAATGTTCAGGTTATCCATGAAAACAGAGAAATCTACTATCGATTTTACACTATCTGAATATTAAATGAGAGTCAAGATGAGGGCGGTATTTTCATTAGGGCAGCCATGCATTGACTCCAATGGTCTGAAGCCCTGTTTTCCTTTAGGGACAATATGTGGCCTATGACAGCGGCTCTAACCATTCCAGGATGGGTCCTTCAGAGGCTGCCTCATGTGGGAAGGGGGAACCAGGCAACAGGTTCCAGGCTCCTTTGATTTAATCACATCAACTTCGTTTTCATCTGTTTTAGATACAGCGGATTCTTCGTAAGAGTTTGAAACAAACAAACAGGTTTCACTGACAAAAGTGGAAAAAAAAAAAAAATTCAACGATCTACATAGCATGCTTTTACCTCAGAGGTTTCTAAGCTGGACTCAACGGGTGTGTCTGCCCCTCTGAAATTGTGTACAAATTTTTTGGGCGTGTGTGCACATATATATACATTCTGTCCACAGCCCTCATTAGGTTTTCAATCAGTAAGCCAAAATGCCAAAAACTACTGCATTGATTTACAGATCTTACAACTTCAAAAATCGTTTTATCTCTTGCCTCCTTTCAAAAAGGTTTTGAGGCTGCTAGTAAGCAAACATGGAGAATTTAAAGAGTGCTTAAGGAACAAAAGTGAAGACTACAATCACTGAAAGGATCATTAACAAAGGTGATGGGACTTAGGGTTGGTAGTCATGGAAGAGGTGAAAACAGGAACGGTCCACTGGTGGGAAATGCACCGTCACGTGCGCACAAGTCAGCCCCTCGGAAGGACCTGGGCCCTGGACGCCCTTCCCAGAGGTGGACAGAGGCAACACTGAGTCACCACTCTCTGTTAAAGCCTGGCGGAAGTTAAGAAAGTAAAATTACATTGCTCATACTAGACTTTAAGGGGGAAATTATGAATTATAATAAAGCTGTAAGCTTATGGAATATTTTGCAGTTAAGCATATCAGAAGTGTTTACATTTCAAAGAATACTTCCTAAGAACAGAAAATACTGGGGCAAGCTTAGGATACAGTTCCACATTTCTCAAAGTTGCTGAGTCAGCATCAAAAGATGCCTGATAAAGATCCCCATATCGGGATGCGAGGCTTCGGAATTCTTCCATGGACTGTTTCATCTATAAAGGGAGAAAATTTATCAATTATGGCAAACAAATATGCTATCATTATTGTGTAAATAACAAAAAAAAAATCAAATCATTAAAAAAACACATCCTCAAACAATAAAAATCCAAATAGTATTCAAATTTTCATTGTCATTTCATTTTATTAAATCCACAAAGATGAAAATGAAACTATAAATGTTCACAAAATTATAGTAATCTATACATAATACACAGAAAAAGAAAACATGCATTTTTAGCTTCTTCAAGTTCCACTAAAATCATAGTTACAAACATTTCTTAAAAATATCCTTTCTCTTTATATAAACGCGGTATCTAGTGAGACCTCGTCAATCACTTTGTTGTCCTCTCTAACAAACAACACATGAGCCTATTTCTGACAAGACCCCGAACCAAAACCAATCCCAGTGCTGTCGAGTGCATTCCCACTCACAACGATCCTACAGGACGGAGCAAAACCGCCTCACAGGGTTTCCAAGGCTGCAAATCTTTACAGAAGCAGGCTGCCACATCTTTCTCCCATGGAGTGGCTGGTGGGTTCAAACCATTATGAGTTAACAAGTAGTATTTGATACTCAGTCTCTGAAAGTCAAACCACTGATTTTAACTTTCAGAATTTCTCGTCTTACAACTAACCTCAAAACCTCTGAAGTGTAAATAAAAGCTGCACTGAACAGAAAAGCAAGACATTACCTGATTGGAGATGCGCCCACATCTCTGAAGGTCATTTCCTAAGGTCATAGCAATTGTTGTGGCGATTGCAGGGGGGGGGCTTGTCTTCAGGCTGTTGCAAGTACAGATCAGTTGAGAGAAGGCCTGCAGAAGGTCAATTCTGAGTTTTACAAATTCACACTGAAAACTTAAAGGATTCAGTGGTGTACTGGCAGCCTGGGGGAAAAATGATTTAAGACAAAGTGAACTGAACAGCAAGATGGTACCGTGTCAAGTATTTTATCACAATTTGGTGAAAAGAGCAATAGTTTTAATACTGATGGATAAACACTTACATAATATGGCAAATTATGTAATGTTACAAAGAAAAACTTATTGTTATTAGCATCAGTCCTATAAAGCTGTATGTTCCAACAACATTCAAAGGTTTCTTACTTGCTACATTCACAACAGATCCCACTGCACATGGGTTGGCTAGACCATCATCAGTAAGCTATCAGTGAGAGACGGATGCTGTAAGGGTATTACCATCCCTGCCAAATCCCTTTATCACTTTCCTAACCTAAAATTCCCATCACTTGAATCATTAACAGAATTTTTAACAAGTTGGGGGGTGGGGTAGATAAGGGCAAAAAAAAAAAACAAAAAAAACAAACAAGTTTCTAGATAATCATTGTTAAAAAAAAAATACACTGCTTCAAAGCTGCTTTCTTCTACTGTTAGCTCAGATTAATTTTAAGAGAGTTTCTGAGTTGGCACTTCAGGAAGTGCACAGAGGCCACCAAGGATGAACAGGTTATATTCAGTGAGGACGGAAGGATGTCAGGGCTGAGTCTTAGACAGCAAGAGTAGCATTATCAGGGAGAGGGGGCAGAGAATGTAAGTCAAGCCAGTGTCGGCAGAGACTAAGGCAACCCTTAAAACCAGCAATTATCCGGGCAGAGAACCTGGCACTTCCTCCAACAAAGGGCACACACTACAAATACCCAGCTAAGACCAGCTCCTGGCGAAAAACCTAGGCGTGACTTTTTAGGCCTGATCAGAGGCAACTACAAAGGCTTCACCTGGAAGGTCTTGGCTTCCGCCCCTTACTGGACCTGGCACACTGCCAGTACATTACGGTCTCTAAAGAGTCATTCAAGGATCCAGCCCTCCATATGGCGTATCCATCAGTCACGCACTGTGCTACAGACATGCAGCTCACTCCAACACGGACGATGGGCACAGCAAAAATTTTGTCACTTTGCTTCTCTGTCTACTGGGGTCCCTGAAAAGTCAGAGGATGGACTGTGCAAGGGGGCAGTCCGAGTGAGCCACCTTTCCGTGACCCATGAATGAACCTCATGCTCAGGAACAGATGTGCTGAACTGGCTTGTTGGCTGAGATGAGAGTATGGGCTGACTCCCTTTTCTGGGGCATCCTGACCCGAAACACATCCCACAGCAGCTGGTGGCCTGTCAGGACATCCCTCCCCTCTTGCCCTGAGCACGTGTCAACATTCCCAGGGATGCTTAGCTGAGTGCGTCATGCTGGCTGCAGGGAGAGACCTGCTGGCCACGGGCGACCGATGTCCACCACGGAAGCTGACCTCGCTCCGTCTCTTTATGTAAGTAAAGCGTCATTCCATCCAAGGCTGGTGTGTGAATCACGTCTTTTTTTTTTTTTATTGTACTTCAGGTGAAGGCTTACAGAACAAATAGTTTCTCATGAAACAGAAGTACACATGTTGTCTTATGACATTGGTGAACAACCCCACAACATATCAACCCTCTAACTTCTCAACCTTCTTTTTTTTTTTTTGGTGAAAATACACATAGCCAAAGATACACCATCTCAAAAATTTCTACATGCACAGTTCAGTGACATTAACTACGCTCTTCAAATTGTGCTGTTATTCTC